GCTTATACAGCTCATCGTTAAATCGTCTGCGATATTCGCCATCACCACCATGTTGTAGAATGAACCATATTTTTATACAAAATTAGCGGAAAAATATTAGAATGAAAATTGTTGCATATATTGTTATGCCAATACTTTGTTCCGGCAGTGTATGTATATTAATCATTTGTTAAACCAATTTTTGAACATATCATATACTTTTCAGTTGCATGATACAAATATTTAAAGGTAAACCCGCTCGCCTTTGGCTACTTTATAAAATTGAAATTTTCAGAGCCACTCAAATGCCAAATAAATGTAAAACAAAATGCAAATAGATCAAAATCATGATTTAATAATGGAAAGCTTTTGTCATAAAACAGTCTTCTCGCTTCCACACTTAAAATCGGCTTCTTTACTTGTGCAGAATGTTGCTCACCCTACAGTTTCTAGTAGTTAGTAGTAAAACCAAAAATTCTTAAATTTATTTGGCGCATGTAAAAAACAATGAAGATATAAGAGGTTTATTTGCTTTGTTTATTTATATTTTTTATTATCACTTAATTCTTAAAATCTAAAAAGTAGATCATGATAAAATATGTATATCGAATTAAAGATAATAGCTTGTACTTTCTAAATAATATAAATTTCTTTACCAGTAATCATTTATGAAAAAATAACATTTCTTTGATTTTGTAGTGGTTTTGGCTTAAATATATAAAAAACAATTTCAATTATGTATATCAGCTGAAAGATAAATAGATTATCTTTATAGTGACGTTATAAGTTTTTTAATCGGTTATGTGGTTCATAAGATATTAATATTTAACCTTCTAAAACGTCTTTCTATTATACTTTCGCTAAATAATTTCGGCATGGTTGAAATGAGCGTAAAAAGTTCTATTGATCTGCATTTTTCGTTTTTGCATAGCTGAACGGTCGGTATTCTAGATTTGTTCCAGGAAATGACGAAAACTTAAATTAAAAATATATATTGTTACGTTTTGTTTAGTATTTCCATTAAAACACCAAATATATTACAAATTCACATAGAATTAATAAGAGGCATTTCATGTCACCGCGGCCACCTCTGTGCGCGACCTCTCAGGATTTGGATGAAAGTTGAAGAGATTGAAGGTCTAGGTGACATGAATATACGTGCAGCATATTTTGCCGATATGACGTAGGGTTGCCTATTTACACGGAACTTAAATTTTAAGAAAACGTCATACATACCTTTCTTTGGAGTGCTGTATCTTGGAAACCTTTTACCGAAACTTAATGAAAAAATAGTATTTCTTCCGTCTTATTTTGGGCTTTACAGTACATTTTGCTTAGCTGCACATCCTTCTTTGCACGAAAAACTTGTGCACTTAACCGAAAAAGGCACTTAAGCGAATTTTCTTTACTACTTCAATGAGGAAGGTATCCGAATGCCTATGAAACCAAATAGTGGCGGAGCACTTACCACGCAGAAATTACTGCAATCGAAATTTTTACCGAATGGTATCTAATTATCTATATAACTACATAATTTGATAGCCATTTTCGTTGTTCTGCGAGATGAACAAAATAAATAAAAAGTTGTAAAATTAGGTAATTGTAGGGCCAGTACAGGTAAACGTAATACTTTCTTTGATAATTGATACTACTCGCACATTTTTAAGGCAGGTATCGCCAATGTGCAGGTATGGTAAATGCATCTATCGGAACAGTTTCCTTATAAATGTTAAAAATAATGCCCCTGATGCGCATTTGGGGGTAGGTATCTTAAATGTGCACTTAAGCATAGAGGCAGCAAAGCAAAATATACTGTAAGAAAGAAATAATAATGGTGCATTTACATGGTATGAATCTGTTCATAAGCCGTATGAATTTTCCTATAAAAGAAGCACCAACTCTATGAAGACATGAATGAAAGCGATATATATTTAACAATTTTGACTTATATACTTGGCAATAATTTTTTGTAAACAACAAATAAAAAATTTTATTTTGTGCTAGCTTCGTGCTTCGTGCTTGTG